TGACATTTAGCACGTCCTGCAACACAATAAAGTGGTCAAAATCAGATATGCTCTACCTTACGACTTTACATTTCCCGCCAACTTTTTATTTTATTATTAAAATTTTCAAATTGATATTCACAGTATGACGGCGGCGACGCTTATCATTTGAATGGAGTTCCACGTTGTTTGGCTTTCCATTAAAAGGTCATAAATATCTTATTTGTAACGCCCAAAACACGTAGGAAAATATACAAACAACTTCCGAAACAAAAAAAATGCGCCGAAAAAACGCGTAAAACAATAGAAAACAAATGTAGAAGCAGAAATCATTATTATTTTTCTAATAAAAAACGTTACATCGAAACAGCAGCCGAAAAAGACCAACACGCTCGTCGCCACCACCACTTTTTATTGTTTATGACTCATTTGTGTTGTTGGTGGGTAATGAAAGGATATGCGGAGATGTGGACATGAATGGGAATGGAGATGACGTGGGGTACAAGGGTTCACCTCCTTAGGGTGTTGTTGTTTTGTTTGCCTGGGTATGTCAGGACAAGCTGTTGCTATGCGTTGACCCCTCATTGGCACACGGTAACAACGGTGTGTACGGTGTGAACTCACATTGAAAGGAGGTTACTGCCAGGTATTTAGCCTGAGGATGCATGGGATTTTTTCCTATTATTATTTGTTGCATAGCCTTATTAGATTTTAAAATCCTGTCGTTTTGTTTCCCATTTCGCTGTGTGAGAAACATAAAAAACACGGGAGGATGAAAGTATACAATTTACATAATTTATTACACCGACGGTCAACATTCAGTTGTAGCAAAGCATATGCTTCTTGAAATATGCTTTTTTATTAAAAAAAAAATAAGTTTTACCCTGAAAATTTATGTTTTTTTTTGTTCGGTGAAGGTATCCCAACTTACATTTAAATTTTGAGAAAGGCTGCTGAAGAAATAGTGGGTCATATTGTTTTTACACAACTTTTTCAGAAACTCAATGAATTACCATGAATCCGCGGAACATAACGGGCAAAAATAAATAAATAAATAAAACTCTGAAATGTTTTATTGAAATAAAATTGCGAAGAGGTCTTTAAGGCAGGTAGCTAAATTGACACCTAAAAACTTCGTCTACATCTCTTAAGTTCTTGAAAAAAATCTTAAAAATCCCTATTTTCACCTGGAATAAAATTCCGAAGTGGACTTTAAGGCAGGTAGTTAAATTGACACCTAAAAACTTCGACTACATCTCCAAAGTTCGTGAAAAAGTTTACCTTGATTGAAGTAAAGTCATGGACTATGACAATTTTTTAAAAAAAATCCATCAATCGTCGATTATAGATTTATAGTTCATGGAAAAATTCTAATTGCGTTTTTACCAGTTTTTTTGAAGATCCACGATTATTACTGTGAAAAACCCTTTAAACGGTGTTAAACATTTTTTTGCTAAATAAGCTCTGAAAGTTCTTCAAACAGCCCTTATGAAAATTCCACTTATAACTCCAACAAATAAAATACACCTCTGTAGTCGAAACCCGCTTCGCAGTGGCCGAAAAATGGCTCATGATCTAAACATATCGTAATATTCCATTCGGAAAATATTAAAAAATTAGCTCGGGGTAAAGCCATTCAAATTCCAAAAAGTGCAAAAACTTACACCGCAACAGAAAGAAAATAGACTCAAAAAAGCTAAAGAGTTGCTTCGCTTGGCCGAAAGTGGTGAACAGCCGAATTTGGTTTTCTCCGATGAAAAAACCATTCGTTGTCCAGCAGTTTGTAAACAAACAAACTGATCGTGTTTACTTGCCAAAGAGGTCAGCTGAAAATGTGCACCTTTGGTTGGCCACCAGAACTCGACCGTGGCATCAGAATGAATGCCGAATATTATCGCGAAAATATTCTGGAGGGTGTATTAAAGCCTTGGGCACGCAAACATTTTGGCAGCACCATCGCACTCAGCACGCGCCACCCAAGAATGGTTACAGAATGAAGTTTTTCGCTTCATTTCCAGCGCACAATGGCCACCAAAATCTCCAGATACCAATCCGTTGGACTATTGTGTTTGGAGTATTTTGGAAAGCAAGGTTGGCACTAAAAAATACAAGCAAGCGCTTCGCCGGGAATGGGCCAAAATACCGCAGAGCAACATTTGGGCAGCGTAAGCCATAAATCGTGCTAAAGGTGACCAATTCAAAAAAATCTAAACTTATTCAAAAATATGATGCTATTTCCGACTTTTTTGCTTTCATTCAAAAATTTAAAAAAAAAATATTGTAAAAGTTATGGCGTGGACTTTTGTTTTTTTATACCCTACACCACAAGGTGGGCAGGGTATTATGTCTTTGTGCATTTGTTTGTAACATGGAGAAGGAAGCGAGATAGACCCATAGTTACTTTTGAGGATCTCCATAGAATCACTTTCTGAGTTGATTTATGCATGTCAGTCCGTCTGTCCGCCCGTCCGTCCGTCTGTCCATGTATTCTTGTGAATAAAATGCAGGTCGCATTTATTATCCGATTGAGATGAAATTTTCCAAACAACATTTGTTTAGCCCAAGGACGAACCCTATTGAAATTGGAGATAATCAGTAAAAATTTAGATATAGCTCCCATATATATCTTCGTCCTATTTACCTTTTATTGTGCACCAAACGTCTAATATTTGCCCAAATGGGATGGAATTTGGCACATGCGACCGAATTGAGTCTAGAAGGTAGTATGCCAAATTTGGTGAAGATCGGTTCAGATATAGCTATAGCTCCCATATATATTGTTCATCCGATTTGCAATCTGTAACAACAATATTTTGGGAAATATATCAAATACAGCTCAGAAATATCTTTGCCAAATTTTATCGAGATCGGTTCAGATTTGGATATAGCTCCCATATATATCTTTATCTGATTTAGAATTAATTTTGCACCAAATGGGCAATACAAGTCCGAATTTAACAGATACAAATGCTTCCGCATATTTAGTCCTTTGAACTTTCAATTATAATTATAATCATAGTGTGTATTAAATTCTCCCAAAAAAAATGTTTAATTGTGGAGCTCTACTAAATTAGCAAAGTGGCCCCGCCCGACTTTAGGACTTTCTTTACTGGTTTTTTCGATGTAAACTTTCAAAACGCCGATTCACGTGTCTTAATTTTTGAGGTCAACATTCATTATCTTCTGGTTTCCCCCCGTATTTTTTTGTCTTGCACAGTCTTTTAGTTATAGCTAACATTAAAAAACCCCGATTATAGCCCTAGAAATTTTTTTATCGAAAATTATATCTCCGACAGTCAGACAGTGAAAAAAATCTTGGAAAATCTTCGGTTAAAGCCCGGACAGGTCTTGAAAATATCATAAAAGTAATTTCAATAATACCCCACACCACAGTGTGCATTTGTTTGTAATATGGAGATAGAATCGAGATAGATAAAATGAACTATTTGAAGATCTGCATAGAATCACATTCTGATTCGATCCCTCTGTCCATGTAATTATTGTATTATGGAAGCAATACAGCAATATTATTTGGCGCTAGAAGTACAAAAGCCTCCCTTAAATTTGTTGAAAATCGATTCAGAGTTGGATATAATTTCCAAATTGTGACTATTTTAAAGCTATGATACGCATTCAAATAAGGTTCATAGTTGGTATGATCATATAGTCGGCCACGACCGACTTTTGACGTTTCCTTACTAGTTTCCATTATTTAATGTTTTTGCTATCGAACACATACCGAATTAAAAATGTACATATTAATCCCCCTTTATATTTATAATGTTAATCTTTCTTTTATGACACTTAATAACGAATCGATCGCTTCATAGTGGATTCCTTCCCTCCCTAAAAACAGTTATGAGAAAAATGGTTCATAACGAATTTAAGGGGTATTTACCCTCATTAATTTTATTTCTGGGATTTCCTTTATGTTTTCACTCTTTTTTTTTTTTTTGAACTTCATTAAAATTTCCCCGAACATTTTCACCATAAATATACCAAATCTAATTGTGCGTATTTTTTCTATTTGCGTTTCTTCTTTCTAAGAGAAAAAAATTTCAACACGTTTCTAATTTTTATAATTTTTATGTGTAAGATTTGGGCTTTCCTCAGTAATGTTGTGTTAATTTCGTCTGCCTCCTAACAAAATTTCCATTAATTTTCTTTTGGCCGGGGGAGGTAACAATTTCTAAGTATTTGTTTTTTCTACTTAAAATCTTTGAATGTTCCACTTGTTGACTTTTATTTACATTTAAGAGTTCATCATTTACGGGTGAAATGTTGCTGGTATGATGTGATGAGAATGGTAAGCTGGACGGACCAACTCATTAGCTTTAAGGAAGAAGTGAAAAAAGGAAGTCTTCAAAAACAGCCGGCATCAAATGCAGTCCTTCGGGGTTTTCTCTGTTTTTTATTTTTGAAGAAAATGAGGAGAAACTTGGGAGTTTTTATGGCTTTTTCCGCTAATTAGTTGCAAAGTCATAGAATTTTAACATAAAATTTTAGTAGACAATTAAATATTTTTGAAGTAATTGTTATGTTGACGGCAACTGTTCGGGTGGAAACGCAGTTGATGTGGAATGTGACGAATGCGGCAACGAGTGATGATTGTAAATAAAGGGGATATCCTTTGCATTTCTTGAAATATTTCAACATCATTTCACTCATCATAATCGTCATCATCATCATCAGACGGGTCGTTTAGTGTGGTTAGCTGCAAGGATGTCGATGACTAATGAACAAAACCGCCAAGTGTGTGTTATAAAGTCTGGAGGATAATGCAGTTTTGAAACTTTTCTTTAACTAACTGGGTGTTTTTATTGCTCTTTATTGTCTGGGGTGGCAAGTTTGTGTAGTTTATGTTTTTAATGCTGATATCCATAACAGTTCGGGACTAGTTAAACATCTTATCTTTAGAATTAATTAGCAAAACACCTTTCAGCTTGGAGGTCTTACTATCATATATTGATGCAATGAAAAAATATTTTTAAGACAACTATGTTTTGTTTCCTTTTTTTCAGACTACAAAATAGAAAGCTGTGCTTCTCGCGAAGGTAAGTTAGCTTTAAATGTATGAATTTGTAGTATGCACTTCCAACGATATTATGTATATTTTTGAACACAAATGAAGCTATAAATTCGAAAATATTTTAAAATTTTTTTTTTTTTTAATTTTTGTAAAAATATGCCTTAGTGTGGGGCTACTCGGCCTACACAAGTGTACCTTAAGCTGATAATTTTTACACCAATTACATGAAGTTTGTGATTTCATATGTAACTCATCGAAATAAGCGTTTTAGACCCACAAAGTATATACAGGGTGAGATACAAAAAAACTGCAACAAAGTCAAACGCCATAATTTTTACATTTTTTTTATTTTTATTGAATGAAAGCAAAAAATGTTGGAAATAGCATCAAATTTTAGAATATGTCAGATTTGTTTGAATTTGTCACCTTTGGCTCGAATTATGGCCTGCAAACGGCCAATGAAACCGTCACACGCTGTTCGAATGTTGCTCTGCGGTATTTTGGCCTATTCCTGGCAAAGCGCATGCTTGAGGTGATCGACACTTTGGTATTTTTTAGTGCCAACCTTGCTTTCCAAAATACTCCACACAAAATTGTCCAAAGGATTGGTATCAGGAGTTTTTTGTGGCCATTGTGCGCTGGAAATGAAGCGAGGAACCTCATTTTGTAACCATTCTTGGATGGCGCGTGCTGAGTCCTGTTGGAATGCCCAAGGTCTGCGGTCAAAATGTTTGCGTACCCAAGGCTTTAATACACCCTCCAGAATATTTAGCATTCATGTGCTTTGCATCTGAACTTAGATGAAGGTATATCGGCCAACTTTTTCGTCCACCATATGCATATTATTCGACGGATTTATTAGACATCTGGAATTTAAAGATTGTTACATGTTCTTAACCCCCTTGAAAAAAATTGTATAAGGGTTCACATAGTGGTATGACCTCCATTTTTCACATAGTAATATGGGTCATTTTTTAACGGAATTGTCTGAAATTTTTATTTCAAGGTTGTTACGAGCTTCTAATCCCCTTACCCATTGCCCATTTTTTGTCAATAACAATATGAAGGCATTGCCTACGTTTGGTTAAAGAACCTGAAACTTCTTTCAGGGTTTTGATCTACAAACGAGTTCTAAAAAGTTCGCTTGAGTTTTCCACAACCCAGACTGGCCATTGTACAGTTAAATCATAAGAAAATTTGCAGCAAATTGTTAAAAATTTATGAAATTTTTTCATTTTCTTTTGTTTGGAGATTTACAATGAAATTTGATTTAGAATAATTCTTCCTTTGACATTTCCCCCAAAACATAAGGTATAAAAGGAAATTAACAGTAAATAAGCATACACACAATTTTCACTTTTAGTACATACATTTTAAGTAATTTTCATAAATACTGTTGTACGTACATATATATATATTTTTTTTTTCTGAAATTTATAGTGAATTTTTGTGTAGAATATTTATTTTTTTGACACCTTCTGCCTACAATGAAATTATGAGAATAATTTTAGCCTTTTTTGGGAATACTGATGCAAATATTTTCTTGGAACTTGTCCTCTCTATTTTGGATACTTTTCGATGTAAACATTCAAATCGCCGATACACCTGCTCTATTTTCATAATCGGCGGGATTTTCCCAGTAATTATTTTTTATTTTTTTTTTGTATTGCACTGTAATTGGTTATTATTCGTAGCTCTTTTTGAACGACAAACTTTGCATTTCGCCATAAACACTAATAATTCTTTGATAAATTCTATCCCAAAATTTACATTTGAAACATAAAACAAACATAAAATTTTTAAATTCAATACTTCCTCTAAATTGTCTTTTATTCGCAAAATTTTTCAGCTATTGCGTTTCAAAACGTCGGAGGGACATTGCAAATTCTCAGTGGAAAATCGATATGCATGTGTACTTTCTTTCGCCATAGTAATTGGTTATTTCATGCATGTTTGACTTTTGACATACGGCTGCTGCCTTGTCTGCATATCCCTAGTCATTGGCAGACACTCTCCACAAAAAGGCTTATCAAAAGGAACCACCAAAAACAAAGCCATAATTTAATTGGTAACACTTTTTTCTGGCTGGCTTTTGTTTTGTCTTCTGGGGCAATTTTTAATGGTTTTCAAAATTTCAAATTTTTGTTTCCTGTCTTTTTCAACAGACATTGTTTTCAAAGAATTCACATTTCATGGTTAAACCAATTCTGGTTATTGTCAACTGAAAACAAGTTCGATGGAAAGGGGTTAAACTTGCTAACAGTGTCTGAATTTTCTTTTATCCGTGTGAGAAAAGGAGGAGGTGTGTTACAAATTATTTCAAGTATCTTTTGGTGTAACGCTGCACAGACGTGGCAGCCGACCGAAAGGCAAGAAAACACTCCTTTTGTGTTATCCAAATGCGTTTACCCAGTGATTTATTAGTGACATTTAAAAATTTATGGCTGCCAAATTTGTTCTGCAAGTTGTTGCCTTTTTACTTTTCTCGGTTTTTTAATTAGCTTTTCCAGCGGCGGGTGTGTGTTTAATTAAGAAGAAGTAATTTCCTGCATGCATAAAATCTGCAGATTTCTTTTTGGGTAAAATTGCTTAAGGGTTTTGAAGATGAAGCTATTGAAAAAGTCGTTATAAGAAACTGAATTCTTAAAATCACTTATTGAAAACGATTTTCAAGATTTTAATAAAAAAAAACCGTTCCTAAAAGGCCCTGGGACGAACCTGGGTTAACCTTTAATTAAACATTGTTCATAGACAAACCTATTGCATCGGGAGGGCTTCAGTTCAGATAATACTATAGCTCACAAACATATAGCTGATCCGATTTGTTATCTTTGTCCCTATATAGCCATAATACAGGGTGAGATGAAAAAATGGCAACCCTATATCCATAATACATGATGAGATGAAAAAATGGCAACCCTATATCCATAATACAGTGTGAGATGAAAAAAACGGCAACCAACTTCAGACTGCTGTCATTTCTAAACCACTCGTCCTACAGCTCTTAAAATTTTTCCAGTGACAGCTCATTATATTGTTTACAAGCGTACAAAAGCATTTTGGTGAGAATTTTGCAGAAAAAAGTTATTCGTGATGGAAATCAAGCATGATTTCTCTATATTTGGCTGGAAAACCACAAGTGGTTATGGTTAGAGCACTCCAGCATTTAAATGTGAACAAATCTTTTTTTTGTGTCTCGTACCATCGCTCGTTACCGTAATACTACTAGCGTAGCCCAACGTCAAGGAAGTGGACAGAAGAAAACAGCAACATCAGCAGAAATGGTTCGAAAAGTAAAGGAGCGACTTGATCGAAACCTGCGCCTCAGTGGCCGAAAAATGGCTCGTGAGCTGAACATATCGCAATATTTCATTCGGCAAATATTGAAAAATTAGCTCGGGGTAAAGTCATTGAAATTCCAAAAAGAGCAAGAACTTACACCACAGAAAATAGAGCTAAAGAGTTGTTTCGCTTGGTAGAAAGTGGTGAACTGCCGAATTTGGTTTTCGCCGATGAGAAAACATTCGTTGTCCAGCAGTTTGTAAACAAACAAAATGATCGTGTTTACTTGTCAAAGAGGTCAGCTGAAAATGTGCACCTTCGGTTGGTCACCAGATCTCAAGCGCAGGCCATGGTGTGGGCCGCCATAACAGCCGGTGGTCGCTCTCCGCTCGTATTACTCGATCGTGGCATCAGAATGAATGCCGAATATTATCCCGAAAATATTCTGGAGGGTGTATTAAAGCCTAGGGTACGCAAACATTTTGGCCGCAGACCTTGGCACCACCCAAGAATGGTTACAAAATGAGGTTCCTCGCTTCATTTCCAGCTCACAATAGCCACCAAAATTTTCGGATACCAATCCATTGGACTATGGTGTCTGGAGTATTTTGGAAAGGAATATTGGCACTAAAAAATATCAAAATGTCGATCACCTCAAGCAAGCGCTTCGCCGGGAATGGGCCGAAATACCACAGAGCTGCATTCGGGCTGCGTGTGACGGTCTCATTGGCCTTTTGAAGGCCATAATTCGTGCCAAAGGTGACCAATTCGAACAAATCTAAACTTATTCTAAAATTGTATGCTATTTCCAATATTTTTTGCTTTCTTGCAATAACATTTAAAAAAAAATTAAAAACTATGTCGTTTGCCTTTGTTGCAGTTTTTTTATCTCACCTTGTATATATTGTACCTATTTTGCTATGTACCCGATATCTTGGCTATCAGTATCACTGTTCCAGGTCAGAAGTGACATTTAAATGTATTTGTGATATCACTGGAAATTTAACAGGAAATTTTCGTAATTTTGCATAAACTTATTGGTTTATTTTACCCGCTAAATATTGTTCGATGACTATCCCAATTGGTAGGCTTCTGCCCAGCCCTAAACTCTAACTCCATGCAAAATTCCGTCGTCGTCGATTGGTATATAATTGTGGCCTGTGGAGCAACAGCAAAATCAGGAAATTTTTCTGCTTTGATCCATTTTAACCCTAAAATATTTTGCGATCGTCTCCAAATACAACAGGGTTCTATTCTGACCTTAATCCCACCTCTTTTCTCAATTTCGTGAAGATCGGTCCATAATTAACATGGACAGACGGATTTACATACATTGTTAGATCGACTCAGCTTGGCAAGATAGATAAGATAGTTTCCTATATGGAGGACCAATATTTCGAGACGCTACATAATTTTTGGCCCAATCAAACTTATAATACCCCCAACCCAAAGTGTTGTAGGGTATAAAAATACGATGGTGTCCCACTCTCTTGAGGAATATTCCTTTTTGAATGAACTTGTTAGATTTCAACTTAAATGTTTAAATATTTATTGTTTAGAAATACACTGTAATTGCAGTCATGACAATTTTAAATTAACTTTCTAAAATCCCATATGGTGCTTTGTCGCCGTCTGCTGTTGCTGCTGCTGGACAACATTAACATAATCCAAAAACACTTTATTTCTAACCGAAAAATCTCAATTATCTTTAAGTTTATAACATTCATAATTTAAGCAGATAAC